TGTGGATTTGTTTCTCCAAAGTACCCAGACTAATACACAACCCAACATGTAACCAGGGGTCCTAAGGGAGACAAGACTCCCAAATTCAAACATAACTGATAAAGACCCCATTACAAAGTCTTAATCAGGACAAAGTCAAGACAAAGATAAGTCATAGAGCCCATCAGAGGAGGGAGCCCGTCAGGCCATGAAAGTGTCCAAGGCTTCATAGTCACTCGGCCACTGAAAAAGGAAATGACCACCAAGGAAATTGACATCAAATCATTTCAGACTAGAAAGGTTGACAAGATTGGCTCTGGCTCAGAGTGTAACTCACTGTTCTTGAGTTGATGCCGACTCATAGTGACCCTATAGGACAGGGTAGAACTGCTTCTGTGAGTTCCGAGACAGTAACTCTTTGCGGGAACAGAAAACCCTGCCTTTCTCCCTCATCACAACTGTTGGCTTCAAACTGCTGACCTTGCGGATTGATCACAGCCCAATACACAACCACGATACCACCAGAACTCCTCAAGGGGACCCTAGGGCACCAAATTCCATCAACAGCAGGCCCCTAAAAGAGCAGGTTGCCCCTCCCTGGGTTGGCTAGAGGAGGAACAGGAACCCATTGGCAACACTCCACCTGGGGACCGAGCTTTTCACAGTATTGGTCAATGATCAGAAAGAACTCAATGGAGGCTCATTGGATGTGGAGACTCGAGATGGATTTGGGGCCCCCCCTGAAAACCACCGTCACAGCCTTCTGTAAGCATCCAGCTCAGAAGGTGAGATCTGACACAGCCCACCTTGGCAGCCTCAGTGCTAGGACAGTATTTGGTACACAGCCAGCATGTGCTCAATAATCTGAAATGAGGGACATGTGCAGCCCTGGAGGCATGACCTGCTTCGAGGGGCCCCATCATTTCTTTTTTTTAAACATTTTATTGGGGGCTCATATAACTCTTATCACAATCCATCCATCCATCCATTGTGACAAGCACATTTGTACCTTTGTTGCCATCATTTTCAAAACATTTTGTTTCTACTTGAGCCCTTGCTATCAGCGCCTCATTTTTCTATCCCTCCCCCATCCTCCCTCCCTCATGAACCCTTGATCATTTATAAATTATTATTTTTCATGTCTTACACTGACCGATGTCTCCCTTCACCAACTCTTCTGTTGTCTGTCCCCCAGAGAGGAGGTTATATGTAGATCATTGTGATCAGTTCCCCTTTCTTCCATCACCTTTCCCTTACTCTCTTGGTATCGCTACTCTCATTATGGTCCTGAGGGGTTTATCTGTCCTGGATTACCTGTTTTTCGAGCTCTCATCTGTACCAGTGTACGTGCTCTGGTTTAGCCAGATGTGTAAGGTAGAATTGGGATCATGATAGTGGAGGGGAGGAAGCATTAAAGAACTAGAGGAAAGTTGTGTTTCATCAGTGCTATACTACACCCTGACTGGCTCATCATCTCCCCAGCCCCTTCTGTAAGGGGATGTCCAGTTGCCTACAGATGGACTTTGGGTCTCCACTCTGCACTCACTCCCCTTCATTCACAATGATATGACTTTTTGTTCTTTGATGCCTGATACCTAATCCCTTCGACACCACATGGTGTGCTTCTTCCATGTGGGTTTTGTTGCTTCTCAGCTAGATGGCTGATTTTAATCTTTGAGTCTTTAAGACCCCAGATGCTATGTCTTTTGATAGCCGGGCACCATCTGCTTACTTCACCACATTTGCTTACACACCTGCTTTGTCTTCAGCGATCAAGTCAGCAAGATGAGCATCTCGGAATGCCACGTTAATAGAACAAAGTGTTCTTGCATTGAGGAAGGACTTTAGTAGAAAGGCCCAATGTCCATCTGCTACCTTATGACCCCGTCATTTCTACTCCCAGCCTAACCCTTCCATTTCTCCAGGGAATCCATGGGTCCTTCTATCCGGAAAGGTGCCCTCCTGGCACCTTGGTGAAAGCGCTCAGCCCCTCACTGACAAGTCTGTAGTTTGAACTGTTCTGTGGGAAGAAGATGAGACCATCCGCTTCCACAGAGATATCAGCTGTGGGACCGTTCCACTGTGTCCAGTGGGGGCCTTATGAGTCTGAACAGACTCCAGCAGCTAGGGGATTTTTGTGGTATCAGGAGAATCTGCTGAGAGCCTGGAATCCCCTGTCACATGTGGGGAGGGCCCTCCCCCCGCCCAGGAAAGTTGGAGGGAGGGATTGCTCAGAGACCGGTAGGGCAGGACAGAATGCTTGGGGCAAAGACAATTCTAGAGATAGCAGGTCTAGTACTTTCTTGTGATAAGCCTGGACCAAGTGACCCTAATGTTTAGAGGCCTCCCAGACACAGGCCTGGGAAACACAGGCAGCTGCTCCCTTGAATAACCTTGACAGATCGGGCTCCATTGCCTGTCCCAGGCCCACTCCTGTGACCAAGCCTGCAGCTGGCAGCCCAGTTCACATCTCACTGGGTGACCTTGGTCAAGGCACTTGGGTCTGGAGTTCCTCACAGGTAGCTCGCTCAGGATCACACTGCCCATTGGGGGCCAGAGCCCTTTGTTAGCTGTAAAGAAACTGAGTTCAAATCTTCAGGTGACGTTTCCCCCCAGTGACCGACCTCCTGGGAGCACTGCACTGTCCTTCCCACGCCAAGGTCATGCAGTGTGGCACCTGTGGATCCAGAGGGGGGCGGGATGAGGAAGGAGGTAGAAGGGGGCAGGGTGAAAGCAAGTTTAACGAGGAAAGTCCTGGTCCCAAGGGACCTGGGGACATAAGGTCATCACCCGGCAGGACCAGGCCCACCAGAAGTCCTGGGCCCCAGGCCAAGGAGCAAATAAGTCCTGGATTCAGCTGGCCTGCTGGGCTAGCAGCAAAGTCCCCAGGCCTTTCCAGAAGCCGGACCTCCAGCCGGAGAGGAGGGGAGGAGCTGCTTCAGCAGGAAATGCCAGCGCAGAGCTGGAACAATAGCGGGGGTGGG